TTTTTCCTTACAAGTTTCTTTTTTAACATTTTCCTACTGATTGCGTAAACGTTGAAAATATACTATATTGCAAAGGTTTTAGTATAATACACATTTTTCTAACATATAACGTAATCACAAACTCAAATGACAAAAAAAAATGCATTCGTAACGCAACAAAAAGAAATAAACTCAAGAGTGTCATAATAATCTTCTTCAAATAACTCGACATGATGAATCTTATAATTTAATGATAGGACAATGTGGTGAAATACGTAACGTCTCAAAAAGAGTGGAAGATCTCAGGAGGGAAGGATCATGTGATAATGGCGCATCATCCTAATAGTATGTCGACGGCAAGGCATAAGCTATATCCGGCGATGTTTGTGGTCGCTGACTTTGGTAGATACTCACCACATGTTGCCAATATTGATAAAGACATTGTTGCTCCATACAAACACCTTGTTCCATCCTACGCTAATGACACATCGGGCTTTGATGGCCGTCCGATCTTGCTCTACTTCCAAGGAGCCATCTACCGCAAAGCTGTGAGTACTTTGCTTGCTTATGTGACATAGCCTAAAGCTGTGAGTACTTTGCTTGCTTATGTGACATAGCCTATTATCTAGGCAATATTCTCAAAAATTTTAACTAACTTGATTTCGATTCATAAACAATCTTGTCGTAGGGTGGATTTGTGAGACAAGAGCTATATAAAGATGTCCACTTCTCTTTTGGCAGCGTAAGGAACCACGGCATAACTAAAGCCGGAGAAGGAATGAGAAGGAATGAGATCGTCTAAGTTCTGCCTCAACATAGCCGGGGATACTCCGTCCTCGAATCGCCTCTTCGACGCCATAGCTAGTCACTGTATTCCAGTGATCATTAGCGATGACATCGAGTTACCATATGAGGATGTCCTCAACTACAACGAGTTCTGTCTCTTTGTCCGATCATCAGACGCTTTAAAGAAAGGGTTTCTGATGGGTCTTGTGAAGAGTATTGGGAGAGACGAGTATAATAAGATGTGGCTGCGGTTGAAAGAAGTGGAGAGGTATTTCGATTTGCGTTTTCCGACGAAGGATGACGAAGGAGATTATGCAGTTCAGATGATTTGGGAAGCTGTTGCGAGGAAAGCTCCTTTGGTGAAGATGAAGGTTCATAGGTTTCAAAGGTACACAAAGCCTTTTTAGGGGTTTTAGTGACATTTTGGGAAAATATGATTCAGTTAGAAATGTAATGAATATATAGTTTTCAATTCAACTATGTGAATGTTTATTATAGTCAGCCATGTGAACAAAGAGGTTACTTGATCTAGACGATGCACAATGGTTACGTGTGACATAAGTTACTTCTTCATTTATTATATATATAAACTACATATATCGTGGCTTACACTCTTTTAAGATAAAAACACACATTACATCATATGATCGGTAAAACAGAGTTGCGAAGAGGATCTCTGATCGTTTATAACTCTTTCCTTGAATCCGAATCTACATTCGACTGAATCGTGTCCGGGACTTTCTCAAGGAGCTTGGAGAGCCACTTGGCAGATTGTTTCTCATGCCGTCCCAAATTGTGTCCATAGTCTACATAGTACAGTCCAGACCTTGTCTTGTATTCATCTTCCCACTCTAGGCCATCCATAAGCGACCACACAAAGTACCCTTTAACATTAACCTTGTCCTCGCTGCGAAAACCAAAAAAGTTATACATATGAAGCAGAAACAGTGTTTTTATCAACAAATCCATCAACTAGAGATGAAGAAACAGAGTTTTTTTGGAACTGTGAAAAGTAACTTACCAGACTGCTCCATGTAATGCCATGAGATGTCTCATATGATAATACTTCCTGTTACTATCGCTGAGGGCATCGGGAAGCACATCTTTCTCTTCAAGTTTCTCCTTGTACCCTGCAAATACAATGAATTTTTAATTTCTTGCTAAGGATAGCTGAGTGAGTTTTTAAGCAAAGAGCAACAAAGCCAATGGCTTACCATTTCCAGTGACTATGATTTCTGGGTCGTTATAGTTCTCTTTGATGTATTTCAAAACTTTTCTTAACCCGTCTGCGCAAACTGGATACTTCGCAGTAGCCGGCTGAAGCATTTATATAAGAAAGAGACTTAGAAAAGGCTAAAAATGGTGTAAAGCAACTAGAAATTTCGTATCGATGACAAATATATACATACCTGAGAACCAATCTTGAACCCATCAACGTTATTAGCTGCAAGCAAATTGAAAAAAAGATTAGAGAGGAAGATCAGTAATTATCACAGAAATAAGCAAGCACTGTTATGGTTAGGAGTAAGAGCATACAATGTAATTGCACGCGAGAATCAGCTTCCCAACTCGGTTTCTCTGGATTAACATTGTCTAAATGAGAAACAAATGTAGAAGTGAAGTAATTGATACCGACAAAATCATAAGAACCCTTCAGTTTCTCCTTCTGCTCAGGGGTAAAAGATGGTAATCGACCACCAACAACATCTTTCATGGTCTGAGGGTAATCTCCATGTGTTATTGGTTCCATATGCCTGTAAACAGCAAGCATCCACACTCAAAACACTAAGCTAAGAAACTCGCTTAAACAATATTTCTTAAAGACTACTCACCAGCCTAGAGTGAAATCCATAGCTCTCTTCACTATCTCCTCTGAAGGACTTGAGCTGGATTTCTTATCATAAGGCTCAAACCACATTGGACTTTGAACAATTCCGATCTTTCCACCTTTGCACTGTTTGTTTTGAATCAATGGATTAGCTCAAATGAAATTTGAGTCCAAATGTGTTGTAACTATCCTAAAATTCTTACCTTTCCGCATTTCCTGAATTCTTCCACAGCTTCGGCATGAGCCAACAGCAAGTTGTGACTAACAGTGTACACTTCATGACCACTCTTGCCTGCAACACATTTCTCATTGACATATTTAGAACATCTCCCTGGTGCTTTCTCTCCAGTCTCGTATCCACCATGACTAAATTCATAAGGCTCGTTTATAGTAACCCAATGCTTCACTCTATCACCATATTCATTGAAGGCAAACTGTGCAAAATCCCGGAAATCCTCCCTATATACGAGTTTCAGAAGATATTAAGTAACCACAGAAGATAGGAGACAGAAGTGTATCACACAGACACAGATCAATATTTGGCTGAGAGGACTTACAAAATACGGTCACTCAAGAAACCACCGTATTCATCTTCAAGAGCCTGAGGTACATCCCATTGAAACAATGTAACCAAAGGCGTTACACCTGCAAAACTCAATCAAGAGTGCGATTTTAGCCAGAAGGTTAAAGGAAAAAAAGAGATTTCATATGAATTGAAGATCTGTCAGAAGGTGTAATAACCATTTGCAATGAGCTCGTTGATAAGATCATTGTAGAATTTAACTCCTGTTTCACTCACTCCCTTGTCTTTTTTCCCATCTGATTTTTTTTTCATTTCAACAACAAGAAGTTTATTAGAAAGTGCTTCTCATAATAAATTCCAAAAGAATCATTAACCAAAGAAATAGATATTTGTCTTACGGGGAAATATTCTTGACCAAGATATAGAGAACTTAAAGGCATCCATGTTCAGTTTTTTCAATAGTTGAACATCTTCCTGCAACATTTCAAAAAGTTAGATTAGATGAAAAAGCCCTTGCTAATAATTACACACTTAAAACACATCTTCAGCGAGAAAGTTTGCTCGTAGAAGAACATATACCTTGTACTGATGATAGAAATCAACTCCAAGCCTGCCATCAAGATTATTGTTGCTTTCTGCAGATTTCAATAACATGCTCATGGGTTAATAATCTCAGGACCAGATCGAATTCTAAACTCATAACAGTGGCTCAGTTTTATAATCTTCTGACCTGAATGTTTAAGAGTGAATGAGTCCCAAATGCTGGAACCTCGGCCTCCTTCTTCTGGTGCACCTTCATGCTATACAAACAAAATAACCAATTAGAAACGTTTGGCAGTAGAAGAGGACTATCAATAAGTCAATCATGAAACTGAAGCATCATCAACAGAATTCAAAAGAAACTATCTTAGGCATTAAAACTAGAGACTTGAAAATGACCAATGACTGCTTTTAATTGGATAAAGCTTTCAACTTTTCCCTTTCAAGCTTATTGGTTTTGACTAAAGATGCCAAATTTGATTTCTTTAAACTGGATTTAGGATTAAAGACTTTGTTAATCGTACTTAGGAAGCTGCTAGAGCTGATTATAGAGTAAATCCGGCAACGAAAGACTAAAAATCGCCGGAAAAAAAATCCCGTCAACGGAGATTCAACAATGTTTTGACTTATGAATCCCAAATTCGATATACCTGGAAAGCAGAAGTAGCAGCACCGAACAAGAAACCATCAGGAAAGCTTCCTCGACCAAACGTGGAACTCTGCGGACACACTGACCCACCATCGACGGTGATCGGAGAAGTAATAACGGCGAGAAATAAACCCAGAAAGAGAATCGCTTTGAGTGCCATTTTTCAGCTAGTATTTTATGCTTAACGTGGTTGTCGTGTTCCATTATTTATAAGGGTGGAGGAGAGAGATCAATCACAAAGAAGATTTATTGATTTTGGGATTCGAATACTTCGTCTCGAAGATTAAAGCAAGGTGAGAGCGACGTGTGTGTTAAATTAAATTATCTTTGATATTTAACATTTAATTTCGATAGCTTAGCCTTGTCGACGATGGTGGTTGTAGAAGAAACAACGTTAAGGTAAGAAATAAGAATTAATAACAACTGATCAATGATGATATTTAGAATTTCCATTTTTGAAAAACTACTTACAGATATTTTATTTGAAAAAGTTAATTTACCTTTTAAATGGATTAATTTATATCTAAATTTCAAAATATATAGATGTTTATATCAGTTAGTTGGACCGACATGAAATATTTATCACATGTCATTCTGTATTTTTACCTTCATTTAAAAATTAAACAAAAATTATCTTAAAAAGCTTTTTTATCCGACACGTCACCATCTTTATGTTTTTTCATTTATTTATTTTTTTCTTGCGATAAAACAGAAACCTAATCCCTTAAACCTCACTGGCGACGGAAAATGGCATTCTCGTCTCCTTCGCTCCGTCTTCTTCCTCAGTCTCCGTTCCGTCTAATAGCATCAAAACGACACCGTTTCAGTGATGCGAAACCCTCACTCTTCTCCTTTAACCATGAATCTTCATCGTCTTTCATTCTCAGAACTCCGGTATCTTCTTCCTTCGTCGTCGGCGCTATCTCCGGAAAATCCTCTACCGGGACGAAAGCGAAATCCAAAGCCAAACGGAAACCACCTCCTCCTCCGCCAGTTACTACTGTGGCTGAAGAGCAAGACATTGCCGAGTCAGAAACAGTCAACATTGCCGAAGATGTCACTCAAGTGAGTTCAAAGGATTCAAATGTTACTAAGCTCATGAGTAAAGATACGTTTTTTCTTATTAAAGACTAGATTTTGTGATAAAGTTTGATAATTTAGGATTCGAATTTTGTTTGTATAGTTGATTGGAAGCACACCAATGGTGTATCTCAATAGAGTCACTGATGGATGTTTGGCTGACATTGCTGCCAAGCTCGAATCAATGGAGCCCTGTAGAAGCGTCAAGGATAGGTCAGATTGATTCTTCGTCCTCTCTAACTTCAATCTTGTGGATTTAACATTCTTGAATTTGTCAAGATTAAAATTTGACTTATACTTGATTCATAACAGTTTTCCCTTTCTGCAGGATCGGTCTGAGCATGATCAATGAGGCAGAAGACAGCGGAGCTATAAGTTCCAGGAAGGTTATTTGCATTTCTTGCCTTTCGATATTTTGATGTTCTGTGTGCGGCATTGTAGATTGCTAATTTAATAGTATCATCAAATCAGACTGTGTTAGTAGAACCAACAACCGGAAACACTGGCCTCGGGATTGCTTTTGTGGCTGCTGCTAAAGGCTACAAGCTTATAGTGACAATGCCAGCTTCTATCAATGTTGAAAGGAGGATGCTTTTACGTGCACTAGGAGCAGAGATTGTGCTAACGAATCCAGAGAAGGGTCTCAGAGGAGCAGTGGATAAAGCCAAAGAGATTGTTCTCAAGACAAAGAACGCATATATGTTTCAGCAATTCGACAATACGGCAAATACAAAGGTAAGAAGTTATCAAGATTTTACTCTTTTATTTGAGAATTCGGGGTGTGTGGCCTAATAAGATGTTTTTTTTTTTTGGTTTGTTTGGTAAGATCCACTTTGAAACTACAGGACCAGAAATCTGGGAAGATACAATGGGTAATGTCGATATATTCGTTGCTGGAATTGGAACTGGTGGTACTGTAACTGGTACTGGAGGTTTCTTGAAAATGATGAACAAGGATATTAAGGTCTTTCTTTTTCTCTTGTTTTCAAATTTCTGGTTTAACCTTGTGATTTCCTTAATCCGAAAGATCCTTAAAACATAGGTAGTCGGCGTTGAACCATCAGAAAGAAGTGTGATTTCTGGAGACAATCCTGGTAAGGAGCATTGAGGCTTCATTTTCTTCCTAATCGATCCTTTCAAATTGTGTTTTTCTTGCTTTAGAATCCTCCTTACGAAACACTGCTAAACGGTTTTTTCAGGTTACTTACCGGGAATCTTGGATGTTAAATTACTTGATGAAGTGTTTAAGGTTAGCAATATTTTCACATCATAATCAACATTTTAAACGACACATCTATTAAAGATAAAATAAAAGAAGATCATGTCGAAAAACAATAGGTTAGCAACGGGGAAGCGATTGAGATGGCGAGGAGATTAGCTTTAGAGGAAGGATTGCTGGTATATATATTAACCTCCTCTTATGTTCTAGCGTCTTTCCTATACATAACATTGGGTTTGAAGTTGTGTGGAATCTATACACATTAGGTTGGGATTTCATCTGGAGCCGCTGCAGTAGCAGCAATTAGCTTGGCTAAAAGAGCAGAGAATGCCGGAAAACTTATCACGGTGAGGAAAAAAAACAGATTTATTTTCTAGTAATAACAGTTAGTGGTTTTTAGAGCTCTAATAGAATTCGTAAAACAGGCTCTGTTTCCGAGCCATGGCGAGCGGTATATCACAACGGCTTTGTTTAGTTCCATCCACAGAGAGGTCCAAGAGATGAGATATTAGTAACAGCCATTAGAAAACCGTCCAAGTTTGGTCCTTGGGGAGAGTGTAAACAACAAATCTCTCTGCAGTACCGAAAAGAGAGGTAAAAATCGAGGTTTTGTTTCTTTTCTTCTTACTCAAAAAAGTTCCAAGTCCTTGCTGCGGTAATCTTACAAACCAACTCCTTTACAGGTTTTGAGAATACCGCGAGGTTAGAGCTGACACGAGACCTGAGAGTTAAACATGTCTCGAGCTCAAACAGTTTTTTCCTGAGATTTTGTGAATGTATATAAGATCATAGACCTGTTAACCGACTCTTCTTGTTCTCACTCATATGTCAGGGATTGGTCACCTAAACACCTAAAATTGATTTGAATCGAGATCTCCAAGATTGGAAAAACTCACCGAGCAAGCATGTTTGTACATTATATGGTAGTTAGAATTCAAAACTTTTTGCCTTCGATGATAACAAAAGATATATGGTTTTATTGTTTTCTTTGGATTTGTTTAAAAGTTAAAAGAAAGCAATCGGAAAGATACAACAATGAGTTTGAAATTGAAAAAGGAAATTGGATAAAAATAAGAAGTCGAATCTTAAGAGTTAAGAGGTGAGGACTTGTGGGCTTTTGCGCATTTGACGTCTATTTCTCAAGTAGAATATTCGCATATGCATAAAAGCCCAACTAAATATACATGAATGCACAATTTAATACGATCCCAAAAATATGTATAGATGGAGAGGAAATGAGTCATAAATGTAAGAAAGAATTGGTAGAGAAAAGACAAGATTTTTACACATGGAAGATACTGGATGGAACAGTGTACACGTGCAATCTTACTTACTGCGTGTCTGCTTTAACGTGGCGGATTTATAGGTCCCACCTTTGTGGCGTAGATAGAAAGTATTGTCGAAAACCAGCATGCAGTCCATATTTATTATCAGTAAACAGGACGTAGTTTTCTTTTAAGATCGTATGTAACGTGGAACAATACATTTATTGAGCATGTTCGAACCCCCAAGTGGATTGGATCAGATGTGGTTAGAAAACTACTAGACTAGACTGACTAGTCGACAAACAAGAACAAAAAAAGGTTCCATTTTCACGTTTTCTATCTGTTTTCACACTCAAGAGCAAAATAATTAAGGTAACGATCGTACGGTGTTAGCTAGGAAAACATCTAATGATTTGAACGGAGATGGTTGGACCACAAAATTAGGGAGAAAATTTTAATTTTCAAAAACTGGTTGAGAAATAATCTGATTTCCAAAAAGAAGAGAAACGAACAGTATGAATTTTGATATTAATGAACAAATAATTTTTTCTGAGGGTTAGAGATTTGGTCCATATGTAGCATAATGTATTTTATGAACAAGAAAATAGTAGTGTTGTAATAAGTTTTTGTATATCCTTTTTTGGCATTAATTTTGTGGCTATCTAATGTATTAGAGAGAACTTCAAATTCAATTTTTTTCTTTGTAGGTTTAACTCCTTTCCCCATACGAATATACACACGTGTATAATTGTACATAATACGTTAATATCCCTTACTATAGATAATCAACACGTTTCGGTTTTACTCTGACATTTTTTCCTAAACAGAGGAAACCAGGTAGTAGCTTCAGTTTTACAAATTAATTTTATTTTCTGTTGTTGATTTCGCCAACCTCTGTCTCTCTTGGTCTTCTTCGCTTTGAGTCTTTCAGCTTGAATTAAGGTAACAAATCACTCTATACTTCTTAGATTCAGTAGATATATACAACCAAAGTGCCTGTGTGTGTCTGTGTATATATTATGTTTTGATAAATCTTTGAGCACAAAATGAGTTTAAAGAAACAATCACTAGCTCGTCTCTTGATCTTTAAATTTCTCCTGGCTGACATAATCAATTTCTATCCTTCGATGCCTTAAAAATAGAAAAATACGTTGAATTTAAAACTCGTGGAAATTGAAATACATATTTATTTATGTTTTGCATTTTTTTCCTATGAAAGTCTTTGAAGCCTTACTGCAGTATATGTGTGCGAATTTATGAATTACGATGATTCGTAGAAAATTCCATTGATTAACTACTTTAAACAGTTTTGAAAGCTTGTAAGTATCTTTTTTTTTTTTTTTTTGATATTGAAAAAATTCAGATTGGAGTTAAAGAACGGAAGAAGAAAAGATCAATTTGAAATGAGTACTCAAGGAGAAATGGAGGAGAGGCTGTTACGTGTAGGCTCAAATGCTGAGGGTCAGAGCAATCATAGGGAGAGTATCTATTTGAGAACCAAGGTTTGGAGTGAAGTAAGTAAAATGTGGAGAATAGCATTACCTTCGTCTTTGTTCCGAATGACTTCGTTTGGGAGCATCATTGTGGCTCAAGCCTTCATCGGTCACTCCTCTGAGTTGGGTCTAGCCGCTTACGCGCTCCTCCAAAGCACATTCATCCGCTTCCTCTATGGTTTAATGGTATAAAAAGCTACAAATCTCAATTAGTCATGGGAACATTAAGTCCGTTAATTAATGAGGAATTAGTTTTTTAGTACTCTTTTGTGGTGTTAATATATAGGGCGGTATGTCAAGTGCAACGGAGACATTATGCGGGCAAGCATACGGTGCAGAACAATACCACACAATGGGGATATATCTACAACGTTCATGGATCGTGGACATGGTCGTGACCTCTCTGTTCCTACCGTTTATTGTACTTGCGGGTCCCATTCTCCGCCTATTAGGCCAAAACGTTGAGATCACAAAGACCGTTGATGAGATATATCTGTGGATGATTCCTTATGTCTATAGCTTAATTTTCACTATGACCATACAAATGTATCTCCAAGCACAGATGAGGAACGCCATTGTAGGCGTTCTTTCGACATTGTCCTTGGCTCTCGACCTCGTGGTCACGTGGTGGTGCGTGAGTGTTATGGGAATGGGCATTGGTGGTGCGCTCCTCGGACTTAATGTGGGCTCGTGGGCAATGGTATTAGCCGAGTTTGTGTACATTTTTGGTGGATGGTGTCCGTTTACTTGGACCGGATTTAGTATTGCTGCTTTTGTTGACCTAATTCCTATGCTCAAGCTCTCCATTTCTTCAGGCTTCATGATCTGGTAATTACCTAATTTTGCTATTTTTTCTTTAACAACATGAATATTATAATTCCAAAACGTGACCTATTGTAACTTGTGGATACACTACCACTAAGCCAAAAATTTAAGGAATAATACTATTATCTTTCTAGCATAAAGTTATGTTATGTTACAATGTTATAGTTTTGTTCTCTAATAATCTTTTCCCTTACAATTTTCGTTCAGCTTAGAGTATTGGTACATGAGCATCCTTGTCTTAATGGCTGGGTATACAAAAGATGCGAAAATTGCAATCTCTGCTTTCTCGATATGGTAAAAGTCAAAACCTTCCTAGACATTGCATATATTACAGCCAGCCTAAATTTCAATCTAGAAAAATAAATAAATTCAATCATCTTGAAAATCTGCAGCCAATACATATATACATGGGAACTCAACATATGCCTTGGCTTCTTGGGTGCGGCTTGGTAATGCTCTCTCATATTTATAAACATGTCAATCTTGAAAAATATCCATGCATAGATTAAGTAACAAACTAGTGTTTATTCTATGCAAATGTAATCGTAGTGTCCGGGTGGCTAACGAGCTGGGGAAAGGAGATGCAGATGCAGTGAGGTTTTCAATAAAAGTGATACTCACAGTATCAACATTTATGGGAGTGATGTTCTCAGCTCTATGCTTAGCTTTCTGTGGTCAGATTTCGTATTTGTTTTCGAATAGCGTTGAGGTTTCAGAGGCAGTGGATGATTTGTCGGTAATCCTTGCCATTTCAATCTTACTCAACAGCATACAACCTATACTCTCAGGTTACACATCTCTATACCCTCTTCTTATCTATGTGAACCATATAACTGTTGGTATTAATTTGTTTAGAAGTGAATCTTGTTTTGGTTTAGCAATAGATGAGATAAATTCTAGTAATTTTAAATAGTTGAAAATGAATAAAACAGGTGTAGCAGTTGGAGCAGGGATGCAGAGTATAGTGGCAGTTGTGAACTTAGCCTCTTATTATGCAATTGGCATTCCTTTGGGTCTCATCCTTACTCTTGTTTTCCATCTTGGTGTTAAGGTACTACTAACTACTACTTTTTTTTACATGTAACTAATTTGTTGGCAACTTGGCATTTTTTAAGAATCGATAACTAATGACATCCATTGTTTAAAATTACGTACAGGGACTATGGTCTGGAATGTTGGCCGGAATTGCTATCCAAACAATGATATTGTGTTATATCATTTACAAAACTGACTGGGAATTAGAGGTAAGCAAATTGGAATTTGTTGTTCTTCCTTGAAACAATGAATTTGTTACTAACGTATGAAAAAATATTTTATATAGGTTAAAAGGACAAGTGAACGTATGAAAGTGTGGAGCCTGAAGCCATTTAATGAAGAGTCGAATCCCATAATAAGAGAAGAAAGTGAGAGCAAGTGAACTGTTTCGATGTTATACATTGTTGTTAATATACTCTCTCGTATCTATGATCACTAATTAAGCTTGATTTTAATCTAAAAGAACTGTTTGGTTTTGAGTATTATATATATGTGAATTGTGTGGTTTTAAATCTACAGGCTTGAATATTGCAAGGGGGTTTCGGACCATGGATTAATTTATCTTCTTATTTATCATCTTAGATTATTTTCTACCGTGCTTGAAAGTTATTCGATTTGAACTTTATGTGTTACTTCACTTAATTACTGCACTTCTGGGACCCGAATCTCTTGAAGAATCTTTTCACTTTTTCGGTTATTAATCTTGACAAGAAATTATCTACATGATAAGATAAAATGATTGTGTTACGATTGTTTCCTTCTTTTTTCGTAATTTTACTTGGTTCTCTAATCTTTTCAATTAAAAATTTCTAATCTTTTCAATTGATCACTACCCTTAGGGAATTTTTTGTCACTATGATCACTTATCCTACAATTCAATACTAAATTCATCTTACACATTCATCACATATTCACATTTCTATACATCCTACACATTCATCTACACCATCCACTTCCTACACATTCATCCATCACATCCTACACCTTTTTATCTACTACACCATCCACTTGCTACACCATCTTCCTATATACATCCTACACATTACATACACCATCTACATCCTACACATTCATCTTCACCATCCACATCCTACACATTCATCTACACCATCCACTTCCTACACATTCATCTACATGCACCATCCACATCCCACACATTTATCTCATCTATACAAGCATACGTTACACATACACACATCTTACAAGCATTCATCACATATCCCCTATACAAATCATTATTACCCCGTCTAGCAACTTCAAATTTAGATTTCTCTGTTCCGTAACATTCTCCCTCCGTGACTCCATCATCATTACTCCGTCTAGCACCTTCAAAGATCAAAGGATATGAATGTGACGGATCAGATCATTTTCCCTTTTTAAGCCTTTACGTTAACTCCATTTGATTTTGTGTTCTTCATAAACATCTGCAAAATCAGATTAATGATCCGTTACAATCCATTTCTGAAACATCATGCAAGTTCCGTACTTAACCAAAAAGTTCAAAAGCATTTATCCCGAAACTAAGTAAACACATTTAAGACATGCATATTAAGATAACAGAACAAAGAATGTTAATTTTTTTTCTATGTACATTTTAAGAAAATCGTTTTGAATGATACTTTTTAACCCATGTTTTTCTTTTCTTAGAACGAGACAGAGTATGACAAAAACGAATATTGAACACGACAAATAAAATCAATGATTGTTTACTTTACTTAATTTTCAAAACAAAATTTTATGAGTAATCTACCAAATCAACGAACGACGAGAGATCTAAAACTTCAAAAAACAGAGCCTCAGTTTCAGATTTCATTTTATTAACTTCTTTACCATCACATGCAAATTATTGAAAACAACAACAATTTTAATCCCCATCTTATCAGTATTTTGTGACCTATCTCAAAATTTTTTTCTTAAAACTTCATAAAAAAGATATGCAAGATGTCGGAAACATTGTAGTTTAAGCAAAAGTAATCAAAAGAATCAGACCAAGAAGCGTTACCTTGTAGGCTTGTAGGGTAATGTCTTTGAGTAGCTTGTGGACTGAAAACATAGGAGAGAAGCTTGAGTGTAGTAGAACAGATCAAAAGAATTAAAACAGAGAGTATTTGGACATGTGAACAAATGAGTTTCATAGTAAGTAAGAAGATTTTTTTATGTCTGAACGATGGAAGACGGAGGTGTATATATATATAGAGATTACTTTTAACGGTCGAATAAGTTACCGTTCAAGTAAAATATTATATAAAAATAAAAGTTACCGTTCGCTAATTATGGGAGTTTCGAATTAAATAATTCACAACGGTTAGAAAAGTTACCGTTCGGTTGATAAAAAGAAAAGAAAAGAAAAAAAAACAAAGTTACTGTTCGGTTCAAATTTACCTTTTCTCTAACGTTCCGACTGATGTTATTGGTGCCATGGACATGTAGACGACGCGTGGAAATCCACTTTAATTGATTTTTTTATTTTATTTTTGCTGCTGACATTGTTTTTTTTTTCTCTAGAGTAGAAAAATAAATATTTGCCGAGCAATTTCAGCAAAAACTGATTATTTGTTACACTGACTGAATCTCTCAGATTATTATTTAAATACAGATAGAAATTATAGGAAAATTGAAAGATTGAAATATTTATATTAATTATTTGTACAAAAGATTGAAAGCAGGCAAGTCTCTGATGCTTGAAACATCATCCAGTGCCAGTTCACGTTCCAATTGTGCTCTCGTCGATTTCAGGACGTCCTGGCCATAATTAAAAACCGGTTAACACATAACCGAGAAGAAGAATTCATAACCGAATCAGAAATTCCAAAATGTAACAAGGCTTGGTTCAAAGACATTTACATTGAATTCCATGTAAGAAGCTCGTTTAGCAAGCCATTGTGCATCCATCATTTGGAAAGCTATACAGTAGAGATTATCGAATGCCATTTCGTCTTCTTCCAGAAATCCCAAGAACCTTATTCCGGCTATTGTTGATGGTTTACCTGAATAGAAACACAAACACACTCAACGGTTTGAACAATTGGTCGGTTTCACAGGTAAAGAAGGGAAAAGGAAATGAAGCTTGATCAGTTTTTAACTGGTTTCTTGAGCATGTTTTTACCTGATTGAAGATCTAACATTTGTGCCAACATGAATGAGATATTGATGCCAGCCACCGCGAAAGGATATTCCCATTCGGCCCTTGTTCCATCTTGTTTATGTAACAGTCTCTGGAAAGATTCCTGTCATAATGAAATCACAAATCTTGTTAGGATCATAGCGACTCAGAGATAATCCCTATACTTAGAATTGTATAAAGCCATACGTTCTCTAAAACAAATGGTTCCTTTATTAAGGGGCATGATATAAATCAAAGATGTAGATGTGGATTAGAGATGCATCACAGACCGGATAGGTCTTCGCAAAGAAGATTAGATTCTCCAGTGATATATATCCTCCACCTCTACAAAACCAATTTATGAAACCAATCATCAGTAAAATGACTAGAGATAAGAAGATTTGCATGACCAAAGCTAATATCGTGTACCGAAAATCTGTTGAAGGGTCTGTTCCTTGCCAACCCATTTCCTTCCAGAGTTCAGATTTAAGAGGTGGTAGTTCCCTCTGTGGATAAGCTAGTCTCCATAGTTGTCTAAGAGCATCCTGTGAATCGCGATTCGCGAGCTTACATAAATTTCGACAAAACATTGCAGGTGTAGTATAATATGGAGAATCAAGCAAACAGAGAGTCTATGAGAACACTTACTTGATGCTCCATTCGAGATCCATCAAATGGGATTTCTATTCTTCGCTTAATGTTTCTCAGCCTTTCTTCCTAATAAGAGGTAAGAAATACAGAACAGAGATCAAATTGACGGTGCCAGTGGTCAAATTGACCATGGATAATTGGAAACAAAACAAAATAGTAAAATTTTAAGAACAACAAAAACAAGCAATTGAGACCATAAGAGAAAGTCATCACTTTACTAAGTATGCTTCCTAATAAACCACATACAAAAGTAAGAGACTTAGAGGCACCAAGCAGAAACACACTCTGATAACTTTTCTAATTTTTTACATCTATTGACTATTTTTCTTCCAGAGTTATTATTATTCTTCCAAACACAAGCCAATAAAAAGTATTTTGCAGTCTTGCAAACTTCTACAAACGAGACAGTGCAAATACAGTTAAACCAGTAGTCTTACTCAAACTCCTAAAGGTACCTCAACAATGCTAAGACCAAGAACCTAATGCGAAAATGTGACCTTCAAAGAGATATGGTATAGGCTGATAAAATTATACTCCTCTTAAACGTATCCTTTGGTATCTAATGTTCAAAAGATAAGGTAGATCCTTTTAATTACCTGCAACATACTAAGAGGCGGTGGCAATAGCCTCCCACCAGTACCTATTTGACCAAATGTAGGAAGAAGAAACCTCCCAAAAAGTGAGCCAGATCCAAAGACAATTTTGGCTGCAAAACCAAGAAACAAGTTGTAATAAGATAATCCCGCTTTTAAACAATCAAGGTAACAAGAAAATAAAAACCAAACCTATCCACTGAGCCCATTGTGCAATCAACTGAGAAAAGATCAACGTCCAGTGAACTTGCTGTCTCTTCCGTTCTTCTTCCCAAATATCCTCCAGAGTACGCTCCTAAGAGACACACCATAGATAATGATACATAAAAGGGTTCTTCTCATCTCTATTAAAACACACACACTGAACCACTAACCTCATTGTACTCATCTCTACTATTATCAGTACTACTACTTCCTAACAAAGGTTCGCTTAAAGTTTCAGAGTCTGTTGCATCATAACGTTCATACTTCCTCCCATCTACATCCCCGTGATGAAGCCGCCTTCTCAGAGTCGCAGATGCCATCTTGTATATCAACAGATACAAGCGAATAAGCCCCTGCATTATACCAGAAATAAGATTAAACAAACAAACAAAAAAAACTGAAACTTTGAGACTGTGTCTTGCCAGTAATCATAATGCAGCCATAATATTAGAATTTAAAGCCTTTCATTTGTTCAGTCTTCTAATTTTTGCATACTAGACCCTAATTCCACAGAAGATCACAGAACAGATCCATGCAAACACAGATCGATAAGAGAAAAAGAACCCTACAAGCTTCAACGGGAATCAAAATAAGATAGAATTTTTCAACCTAGCAAATTACAAACCGATGCATCTGCGCTAAGTCACCAACCATTGAATCGTCGTTTATAAAAAATTCAGAACATCAAACAGAGCTCCACCACAAACCCTAATTGGGAGACAAGCAAAGAGACTCAACACAAACAGGATCGCTTAAAATCCCCCAAATCTCAGATTCGACTTTTTGTAATCCCTAATCAGAAAACTTCACAAGAAAAACATCACCAAATCCAAAACTTTGGAATCTCAGATACATTATAAGAAAAATCTCGAATTGGGTTTGATCGATTCTCTTACAGGGAACGTGATCTGAGTGAAAAGATGAGAGCTTCCTTCGAGAGAAAGGTAAGAATAAGCTCACGAAATCTGAAATCCAAAGGAAACTGTCGCCGCCAAATTTCCAGAAATTTTATTTATTTCGATTAATATCTCTTACCATACGTTACTATAAATTTAATTAATTTTTATTTTTCTTTTGTTGGTCAACGACGTGTTCGCAGGTTAAATCTACGACCCGGGTTGGTATCCGGTTTACACTTTTTGGTTTAGACATTTGAAATCTACCGAAATGGGTCGACCCGACCCGACGGCTCCTGATTCATCCATGTTTCAGCTTCTTCATCAGATCTAATTCAGTCTGCGAATTTATCTTAAACCCTAACCCTCTCGCTGCCGTCCGGTGGTTTTTCCGACTTCGAACAATGACGATTCACGCTGCAGTAATCCAGAAGCTTCTGAACACCGGAGCACATCTTGGCCGTCGCGCCGCCGAGCACCATTTCAAGCAATACGCTTACGGGACGCGTAACGGAATGACCATTATCGACTCCGACAAAACCCTAATTTGCCTCCGTAGCGCCGCTCATTTCGTCGCTAACCTCGCCCACATGAGAGGTAACATCTTCTTCGTTAACACAAACCCTCTCTTCGACGAAATCATTGAGCTCACTTCTCGTCGGATCCAAGGCGATTCGTATAATCACAACCGTGCGATGAATCTATGGAAGATGGGTGGGTTTTTGACTAACAGTTACAGTCCTAAGAAGTTTCGATCTAGGCACAAAAAGCTTTGCTTTGGTCCTACTACTATGCCTGATTGTGTCGTTGTGTTTGATACTGAGAGGAAGAGTTCTGTGATACTTGAGGCCTCGAAGCTTCAGATTCCGGTTGTTGCAATTGTGGATCCGAATGTTCCATTGGAGTTCTTTGAGAAGATTACGTATCCTGTGCCAGCTCGTGATTCGGTCAAGTTTGTGTATTTGTTCTGTAATGTGATCACCAAGTGCTTTGTGGCAGAACAGATGAAGTTGGGGATCAAAGATGGGAGCAAAGAAGATATGATGAAGGATTTAGCTGCTTGATTTGATATTTGCAACAAAAGTATGAAACTTTATAGTTGTTTTTCTGAGTCTGGAATAATTGTTCTTCAGAATTGTGGTTTCTTCGACTTTGAAATTCTGAGTGTTTTTTTACACATGGATGATTTTGTTTCTCTGATGGATATTTACCTGTGTAAGATTGTTGAGTTCTAGGGTTTTACAACTCGGTAAATGCCTTGTCTTTTTGGTGTGCATTGTTGGAAATGCTTAGACAATGTAAATGGAATTGGTTACTGCTCAGGTTTTGGAATGACACATTACTGTTCAGGTTAGGGGATTAGCTGCTTGGTATACCTTTGAATGTCTCTTGAGGCAATTTTATGGTTTTTACTATATTTTAGACTTTTAGTCGAGAGATTCATTTTTGTCATGTTCCTGATTTTTTTGGGAGATCTCTGGTCATATCTCTCGTAAGTTTGATTATCCTTTGCATAGTTGGTTGCTAATCTTAGTGTTTGGTTTAGCTTAGTCTGCGGTGGCCGGTGGTTAACGGATCCACTGCACATGCTACAGAGACTGTCTTTATGTTAATTTCCATCTATCATCCTCTGGGACGATGTAAGTCCACTGGTAAAGCTCTTGGAACTTTGGAAAGTACTTGACATTTTAAGAAGTTAAGTGATTCTCTGTACATGCTACAGAGATTTTTGATGGAACAAACCGGCTTTGTTTGAGAACTAACAATTGCTAGCTTTTGTTATCGTTACGATTTACTTATGTCAACCATGCCTTACCTCGGATTTCTTCAGTCATATCATAACCCCTTCTTTGTCTCTGAGCCAGCCTTAACACTAATAACCTCCACAAAGCTCCATGTCTAGTTCCCCATGTCAACATAGGATATTGGTATTACTGTCTCTCCAATTTTCTCATTACATTTGATAATCTCTCAAAACAACCAGCTTGATGCTGCAGAGACCACTACGATCACATTTCTCGGACCTTTCCTCACCTAGATAGCTTCAGAGATGTCGATCTCCTTCTCTACAGATGACGATCCTATCTGAAATCTTTGACTCCTCCTTGTTAATGTTCTGTTTTCAAAAGTACTGAGTTAAAAAAAGCAGCCATGGATTCTGTCTATAAGCTACTACAAAGGATATGAAAAAGATTCCATGACTGTTAATCCTTGAAAGTTGAAAGCTTTGGTATCAAAAAGACAAGTTTCAAATCTCAAACGTCGCCACGTGGCAGAGTCAAAGGTCAAACCTTTTTCTCCCAAAAACTTACTTTCCTAAATTCTCCAAAATCACACTCTCGGAGAAGGAGAAGAAAAACTAGATTAGCGAAAAATGTCTTCCGTTGCAGCTATGGTTTTCAGGGGAGCTAGATCGCTTCTAGCTCCTGCTTCTCGAGCCACCTCTTCTTTGGTTTCAACTTCTAGAAGTATAAGCACTGTCACAGCTGGATCCACTAAGAAAACGGCGGCGAAAACAAAGGCCAAGGCCAAGGCTAAGCCTAAGCCAAAGGCGAAATCAGAGTCTCCGGCAAAGAAGACACCGAGGTCTACCGGACTCTTTAAGGTGACTCCTGTGTCTCCAGTTCTCGCTCAGTTCCTTGGTACCGGTGAAACTACACGTACCGACGCCATCAAGGGGATTTGGACCTACATCAAATCCCACGATCTTCAGGTTCATAATCTCTTTGAATTTGTTGTAAATTTTGAGCATAGCATCATAGTCTGAATTGGTAGCTAGATTCTCCACTTTCTGATGGTATAGGTCTTGCATGTAGACGAGATTTGCCAGAAAAATTAAGTTTTTTTTGTGTTGGTGGTACTTTGCTATATTGTTCCTGGTCTCTGGAGTCTTATTAACTTGCAGACAAAAATATTTCTTGTTTATTATATTAGCCAGCTGAGAATGAAGTTAAGATTTCTTCAATCTGAAAGGTTGGTGTTTTTAGATACAATTGAGAGTCTTATTCTGAGGTTTTGTTTTTTTTCAAATCGTTCATGTCACCGAAAAAAACAATTTTTTTTGTGAATCTGTATGCTGGCAATGTTTCTAACAACAATTCTGTGGTATGACTCTGAACTGTTGCTATGGAGAGTGGTTTATGGTTTGGATCTTGACAAAGCTCAGATACGATGAAAAAACAAGTCTTGTTAGTAGTGAAAACAAAGCAAAAAGCTCACCTTTGCTTTTCAGATTTCAGATTTGTGATATTTTTCATTCTTCTTCAATTGTCTAATCCAAAAGATGTTAGCTTTGTCTTTGGTTGTGTGGCTTGTTGTTCTGGTTACTGTAGTTTTACTTACTCTCTTCTCTAAATAATCCAAAAGAAGTTGCTTTGCTTAGAGTTTTACATTTTATCTGCTTTGTTCTCCATTGTGATGATATGGTTTCAAGTCTCCAAAACCCGTTCTCTTTTGGCTTTAAGAACATAGAAAGTAACCAGAGATACCAATCTCTATCATGATAAAGTGCAATTAGACTGAGACGTTCTAGTAGTATCAAGTTAGGGAATACTATTTACTTTCTTAATTTTGATGTCATATGTGTTGGTTTTTGGTTGCAGAACCCAGCTGACAAGAGGGAGATTTTCTGCGATGAGACACTGAAGCTAATCTTTGAAGGGAAAGACAAAGTTGGGTTTCTAGAGATTTCAAAACTCTTGTCCCCGCACTTTGTGAAGACTGCTTGACCAATAACTAGCTTAGTTTGGAAACTCCTGATTTGGTTTTTGAGTAAGCTCTTTCTGAGTGATCTTATCTTGTTAATGTTGTCAAGATCTTTCCACTTTTTTCCTTCCTCTTCCCAAACATGGTTTGACACTTTGACTAATGAAGAAATATTTTGGCATAAGCTCTAAACTCTCTGTGTTTCTGTTCTGGGATGGGTTAATCTTAAATCTAATACGCATGCCGCTGCTCGAGCCAAGTTTTTAAGTAGGCTCGAAAGATTTGCAAACTTTGGCAAAACACAGAGTCGATGAAAAAGAGTAATTAGACAATTCAAATCACAAGCTTATATTGAATGAAACTTTACAATATTCCTAGCATATATCAATCTGTTAAAGAAGAAGAAAGGTTTGAATCCATTAAGGCACAAGAACAGAGTAACTTTTGCAGATATACACAAAAATTTCTTCATAGATTATAGGATATGTTTACATCTTTGATTGTGAATTGAAATCTGATGATATACACAAACGCAATCAGAGCTCAAGCTTTAAAGCCAGTTTCCAAACACGACGCCATTGTTTTGACAAAACACTTGTAGCCACAACCTCTTTGACCGGAAGGGGTGACAAAATCTTCACCAGTAAATCGTCAGGCAAATCAATGATATTTTTCATTCCTTCATGTTTGGTGTTGATATTTTCCATCGCAGAAGAAGAAGAAGGAAAGCCAAAATCTTCTTTGTTCCTTTCCTTATATGTCAAGGAAACGCCAAGTAAGCTCCTCTGTTTCGCTCAAAACCCTAATTTCGACTAATTATCCCAAGACTTTAAGGATTATCGAATTTATATTCTCTTTTTTATCAACGATTAACTTTATTATCAAATTAGCATCTTATCATTTCAATTTAAACCCAAATCTAGTTTGAAGAAAAACATCTATATTGACCAACGAATTTTTGGAAGTTTATTAATTAGTGGATTTAAAATTTATTTAAAAATCTAACAAGAATCTTATGTTATTAAATCATTCATTTAATTTTTCTGTCAAAATCTTGTATTATTGCTGTAATACAAATACTAGTTTAAATTTAGTGTTATTCAGTATATTTCTTTATTAGATTTAAAAATGATCTAATTTTCCTATTGAATTTTAAGATATTTGAAATTGTTTAAAATTGATGTCAGAAAAAAAAATTTGAAAGTGTTTAAAACTAAACATACAAAGGCTCAAATACAGCAAACCTTGTTATTTTGAAATTATATATATTTGTTCGACTTTCAAATCAGTAAGAATTTCCAAATCGTAAACGGATTATCAATCAATAAATCAATTTTAATATTGCAAGTTAGGTTATAAAATGATGCATTCTTTCGTGATTGCTTTCGAGAATTGTCTTTCGGTAATTTATCTAGCTCGTTGCTTGTTTGTATCTGTATAAACATGATATATATCGGTTTTTAATTAAGCTCTTGACATAAAACCAAGGAAGAGATGAGTGATAAAAGCGAAATTGACTATCAACAGCAAAACCATGTAAAAGGGGTTTGATGTTGAATGACATTATTATCTTACTAGCCTTGGCAAATTTACTAGAATGGCAAATTTATACACGATTTATCTTTGAGACTCGACAGCAGAGAATCAAATTTCTCCAGCGGAGCGTTAGGATCCATAGGTTCCACGTCGAAAAGGTCCCCCGAGGCGGTACGTGGGAATGAGAATTTCAATAGAGTTAACAGCCAAGCTATAGAGCGAATGAAAATTCGCAAACTTAATAGATGGAGAAGAAAGAAACTAGAGTTGATACTAACTATCAAACCACAAAACTAACTCAGATAAACGAAAGACAATAATTTAAGGTAGTCTTGCGCATAAACACTATCTCAAGCTGCATATGCTGCTTGTTGGAACTTGTTTTTGACAAAAATGGTTTTGACCATTGTTACGGGGGAGTTTCCGGTGAAGACGTTCATCGGAATGACCGGTTCTTGGGCACGATGGAATCGTTGCTGCGAGCACTACGTGGTGGTGTATTAGAATGTCAAAAACGGAGTTCGTTTGAATGAGAAATGGTGGTCTAAAGTGGCTAGCTTGGAATTTGACTAAGGGTCAAATATCGCACTTTGGAAATTAAGAGAAGAAACCCAAACCGCACATGTTATTGTGTCGAACCGTGTCGTACCGAACTAGACCGGATTTGGGAATTGAGATTTGAGATTTGAGTAATGGGCTTACAACCCAAATAACTATCCATAGTTGCTCAAATTTGTGTAAGTCATTTGTTTGACTAATTCAACAAATATCTACTTTAAAAGTTGATTTTTGTAACGACACAATCTCAATGAATCACAATTAATGTTGAATATCAATTCTCATCAAATTGTCATTAACGTGAGATTCTCCTCTTGATTACGTCATTGAAGGCTTTGGCTTTATAAGCAAAGTTTCTTCACCTCATTTGAAGGAGGTTAAAAACACAACACAATCTCCTTCCTCTCCTTCTCTTTTCTAGTTCTAGTCTGAGAGTACAACACAAGGCTAGTGTTCGTTCAGCTTTTGATTTGAGTGTTGCAATCAAAAGAAGAAACAGTTTTATCATGGGACTCTAATTGTCATCAAACCGGCACACTACGAGGCGATTTTTGAGTTAAGGAGAGAGATCATCAAAGTTCTCGACTCTGTTTACCACCGTCAATCTCCGTTCTTCAATCATCGTTTCGGTATTGTTGATTTTTGATACTTGTTCTATGTTAATTGCTTTACAAATATTAGATTGTGCCCCTGTTCAAATATTCAGGTCATTACACTGCTTCTCTTCCGACTTGGTCCATATAATAGCTTGTTGTAGCTTTGGGGGTCCAAAATCTAATTTGAAAATAGTTGTTTTTTTGGGTTCATGAATCCTTCGTTTGCACTCAATACACGATTCATCTTTGAGACTCGACAGCAGTGAATCAAATTTCTCCAGCGTAGGATCTTCAGGTTCCACGTCGAAATTTTTTCCAGAGGCGGTAAGTGGATATGAGAATTTAACTAGATTAGACAGCCAGATTAGAGAGCATTCAAGACAAATATCCACATAATCAACATCATGATCTCTCCAATGTTTCCAAAGACAGCACCATGATTTTGACAAAACACTCGCCGCCACGATCTCTTTTGTCGGGAGGAATGACAAAATCTTCAGCAATAATTCGTCAGGCAAATCGCTTATGTTTCTCATATTGAAGACTGCACACTGAAACATCACAAAAAAAAAGGTTATTTAGTTACAATTCAACGTAGAGATCAGTTTGCCTGGAGAGAAATAGAGATCACAGAGGAAAACACCTCTCTAGTTGGAAAGAAGACGAGAAAAGAAAACCATGTATAATCAAATCAAGTTGTGCTCACAAAGCAAATACGATCAGAGAAATTGTAGAGGAAGGCCAAACCTTTTTATGTTCCTTCGGTGTCAAAGGCCAAGTATACAAAACCCTAATCACACTTCCCTTTCGATTCGAATCGGAAAATAGAAGTTAAACACTAGCTATTCCGATGATCAGGATGGAGAATCCGGCAATTATATTAGAGCTAGGGCTTTATATTAAAGGGATTATTTGCCAAATAACGCTTTTCCTTTTCGTTTATTGTTTTTGTCTAAAATTAAGTATATGATTTTTTTTTTTTTTTTTTTTTAAAGATATTGATTTTGGTTAAGTTCTTAAAATAAATGGAAGTTTCATCACCAAAATTATTCACCACAATTTCCTATTTCTTTATTTCCAATGTACAGTACATGTTTGAATACGGTGCACCTTGTAATTATATTGAAGGCTGTTTTCAAACATTTGTTGAATATAAAAAGAAAACTTGGTTTAGCTTTAAAAGCAACCATTTAAGAACCAATGAGCAGACTTGAAAGATATTGGAGACGAAGCATACACTTGGACAACTTTCTTGGTTTACTTGGGATTATTTGCCAAATAACGCCTTTCCTTTTCGTTTCTTGTTTTCATTGTCTAAAAGTATATGATCTTAAAAAAAAACAATTATATTGATTTCTTAAAAAAAAATGGAAGTTTCGTCACCAAGCTATTATTCACCACAATTTCTTATTTCTTTATTTCCAATATACATGTTTGAATACGGTGCACCTTGTAATTTTGTTGAAAACTTGAAATCAAAGCCTGTTTTCAAACACTTTTGACAAACACTAGACTATAAACTTGCAACACTCTCTTATTCCACAATATAAAATAAAATAATCCACCCTTACCAAAAGACAAAACTTGGTTTAGGTTTAAAAGCAACCATTTAAGAACCAACGAGCAGAGTTGAAAGACATTGGAGACGTAGCACTACGAGGAGGACACACTTGGACCACTTTCTTGGTTTCAATATGGTATTCACAAAGCTGGTAGGTATAAAAATATATGCAATTTTCCATAGCTCCATCTTTAGCTGCAAAAGTTATTCCTAGATCAAAAAGCAATGCTTCGTCTCCTATAGAATTGATTACGCTCCATTCTAGTGATTTAGGGTCCATCTTGTAGACGTCAAAGAAGCGTCGGTCGGAATATGAAAACCTTTCGCTTGTAACGATCAAAACTTGTACAGACAAAGTCACAACAAGATTCTTGTCGTGAGACGAATAAGGATAATCCAGAGATTTGAAACTTGCACATTTTATTGGAGGAGAATCATCACGGGAGAAATCAAGAACAGTGACTCGAGTATCACTAAGCACGTAAAGCTTGCTTTCTTTACACACCATATCTACGTATTGTTGTTTCTTCAAAGGTTCAAGCACTTTCCAGCTATTGTTGTCATCATCTCCTTTCTTGTGATATGCAAAAACGTCATCCAAGTTCCAGACAACTATTAGCTTTGTTTTTGTAACTGAGAGTCACCCAAGCTTTAGAATCAACCATTCTGAAAAGTTCCATCGGAAATCCATCGATTGATTCGAGAGGCGGAAGAGGAATCATCTCTCGAGTAAACAGATTCAAAAGGTGAAAATCTAGTTTATCGTCTAACATAAGGAACCAGCTACCGGAACTCGTCAAACAACGACTCGTAGCCATATTAATCCCGAGATCTCTTAATGTGTAAGAACTATTGTCACGAGGATCGAAAAACTTACATGATGAATCATTGTTTCTGTTTTTCGGATCTTCGTATGGAAACATGATGATCCATGGAGTTGT